ATCATCATAATGATACGTAATCTTTAAAAATCGCAGTAAAATTAAAAAAAATGGAGATGCGTCATTATTTTTAAGGCCATTAATTTAATTTAAAAAAAAAACGTATTTTACACTATGTTAATTACTTCACTTCTAAATAACTGCCTGTCCAAGATCTTTCCAATTTTAGCATTTAAAAGTCTTCCTTGTCTAATATATCAGACAGCTTTATTTATGCAACCTCTTCGCCTATTCTTGGTTTTGTGTTTTTTACTTTGATTGTTCCTTGTCTTATCGTTCTTGTCAGTCAAATAGTTATTCAATAACTCCATCCCGCGTCCTATTAACTTATTAAGTATTCTGTCATTTTCTTCTTCTTACAGTACCGTGCACAAATAGTTCGTTGGCGAATTATCTTAGTAAGGCTAGACGTCTGTCCTTTGTGACATGCAAAACTTGCCAAGGTTATTTATACCTATCCAGTTCCTTATGTTTTGTAGCCGTGACATTAGTCTGCTTCTACTTCTCTCCTGCCTCCAATCTGATCTTGAATAATTAGGTGAGGGATTGCAAATTTTTTTCTTCTCTGAATGTGGCCCAGGTATCGAATTTTTGATACTGAACCTTGGGCAGGTTGAGTAATTCTCTCTCAGTCTTTGCTCTTTTTGAGACATTCTTATTTCTCAACCTATCTGTTCATGGTATGCACAACATTATTTGCAAGGTCCACATTTCGAAGGCCTATAACTTATTAATGGATAGTATTTTAAGGTCCATGTCTTCATGCTGTATAACAATATGAATCATTATAGCATTTTTAACTATCCTATATTGAAGAATGAAGGTAAGATTGCGGTTACACAGTAGCGGCTTAAATTTAATAAAATATTTTCTTGTTTATTTAGTACAGCATCTTATTTCTGGTTGAGAATTCTATTGTTCATTCATCATAATACCCAAATATTTTTTTATGTTTTCACTGGTTTGATGAGTGGCACTATATACTGGCAGTTTACTCTTAACCCTATTGCACTAAATTTAAAATTTTAAATTCCTCTGTGTTCATTGATTCATTTAACCTCACTCGTGATTTTTGATTCCAATAGAAATTATGGATAACTCTTACATTTTTCTCGTCAATATTAACATTGTGTAGCATTTTTATCATTGCATCGTATTTTACGGTATCAAACGCTTTTTTATAATCAAAAAATCTGATGAATATCTTGTCTTGCAGTTTCGTACAAGCGTATTCAAGCACAAGCTGCTTCACTTGTACCCAGTTCACTTTTGAACCCAAATTGTGTGTAGCCGCTTAGCTGTTCCAGATTTCTGAACATTCTTGTGTGAAGGATACGAAGAAATAATTTAAATAAATGGCTGATTAAAGTGATCAGTCTGTGGTCATTGTCTTTTGCCGCTGTTTGTGATGTCTTCTCCTTCTAGTTCCATAACCGTTATCGATCGTTGGATATCATGTTGGCTACCATGAATTTATTGACAGCAGCTCTAAATAACGATGTAGTTGATTTTCCATACCATTACCTTAGATTTTTCAGCCATGATGTTCTTCTTCTGCCAGGGCTACGATTACCTTGGATATTTCCTTGAATGATCAAATGTAAAAGATCATATTTTTCAGGGTGTGTCATATTGTGACCAAAGTAATCCAGCTGGCGTTTCTTTATTATATGGACCAGTTGTGTTGTTTGGTTCAGCCTGTCGACACAGCTTATTTTTAGAAGTGGTCTGTATACTCACATCTCAAAGGCTGTCAAGCGTTTAAGAACAGCCTCAGTTAGAGTCCACGCTTCCACTCCATACAGCAGGACAGGAAAGATGTAGCAATATGTCATTCGTACTCTAAGGTCAATGCTAAGATCGTGACTGCAAAGTACGTTCATTTTTACAAAGGTAGCTCATGCTTCTTATATTCGGCTTTTAATTTCTGCGGTTGGATCCCAGCTCTAATTGATATTACCGTCGAGATACACGAGTTTCTCGACTCTGTCCAGTGTGGCATCTCCGAATTTTATACCGACAAGCACTAAGGTATCGTCGGCATATCTAATATTGTTGACGGTTACTTCATTCACAATAATACCTTTGGTTGTCTCCATTAAGGCTTCCTTAAATATATCCTCCGAATATAAGTTAAAAAGTAAATTCGACAATATATAGCTTTGTCTCACTCCTCTTTTTATATTTAGTTCATCCGACAGTTCTTGTTCAACCTTTATTCTTGCCACCTAATACCAGTATAGATTTGTAATTATTCGAAGATCTTTATCGTCCAATCAGACTTATTGTCCGATAATCACCACATGTCTTTGGACGATGTTCCTTAGGTATTGTGACAAATGTCGGCTTTAACCAATCAGTTGGTAATATCCCAGTGTCATAAATTCTGTTAAAAGAGATTACACACAGCTTTAGTTCCATTTTCTCCCAAAAACTTTAGTATTTCAGCACTTAGTTCATTGGAGCCAAGTGCTTTTCCCTTTTTGCCGTTTGTATTGAACGTGCAACCTCACTTTCTGTTATAAATGGACCTGATATAGCAATCGGTGTATAGAGTTCTACTCTCTCATCTTCAAATAATTCACAAATGTAGTTTTCCCATTCTTTTAAGTGTTCATTGATGTCTGATATTCTGTATCCGTTTCTGTCTTCTAAATTTAGGATACTTGTTTCCGTTTGTTTTCAGCGACCTCTTTTAATTTTTTGTGCAGATGAAATGTATTGTGTTTCTTTTCATTCAATTCATTACATTCTTCAATTTCATTACATTCTTTACTATGAAATTGTGTTTTCGCATGTCTTATCTTCTGCCTGATTATTGCATGGATCCTCTGGTATTAATTTTTATCTCTATTTCTGACTTCTATTCTTTGATCCAAGTTTCTATTTCTTCTATTAGTATCTAGTATCAATCTCTTGATATTTCTTCTATCATCCACCTTTGTTTTTTTCTTGCTTTTAACGCACTCAATTTTGTTTCTTGAACAATCTTTAAGATGTCTTTAATTCTCGCCATGTTTTCCTCAGTACTTTCCTCTTTGCTTGACGCTAACTTCATTTTTTGTTTTAATATACTAGTTATTTCTTGTTTTACAGTATCATTTAACATCTTTTCTCTATCAATAGTAACTGTTTGCTTATTTGTCCTTGCAACTCTTTTTAATCTCTGTCTTATTTTTCCTACTAAAATATTGTGATCTGTTGGTACATCTGCGCCTGGATATGTTTTTACTGCTAATACTAAATTTCTGTATCTCTTATTTATACATATCAAGTCTATTTGGTTTCGAACAATTCGTTCAGGTGTATCTGCTGATGATTTCCAGGTGTAAAGACGACATTCTGGAAGCATGAGAATTGTGTTTGTTATTACTAATCGCTTTTCTACGCAAAAAGATGCCAACATATCTCCACTTTCATTTCGTATTCCCAGACCATATTTTCCTATAATATCATCCTGTTCACCTTCCCCAATCTTTGCTTAGGGATCATTATAAAGATTGCATATCCATTGGAATGTGGCCAATGTTATATATGGCATTAAAAATTGTTACCAAAATGTCGATGTTATTATGTCATCTTCCAATAGTTTTATGACTTCCGTAGTAATGTCATCCAGTCCAGAGGCCTTGTAGGGGCAGATAAATTTTCTGTGGGTAAGTAAGTACTTGGCATATTTGGTCTATTATCTGTAAAGAAAAACAAAGCATATTCTGTCAAGATTTTAGCTAGTTCTTCCTGAGTATGTTCGTTTTGATTGATTGATCCTTGATTATTCTTCAGGTGAGTTTCAGGGTGTTTCTTCTATATACTCAAGTTTTTTCTGTATTCTATAGCTGTCTCCCTTTTTTGTAGTAGTTTTAATTCTTCATAACTTTCTTTCATCCAGTTTTTCTTTCCATTTTTAATTCTGGCTGCATATTACGTTGAATCTTCTTGTATTTCTATTGGTTTTGATGTATTTTATACTGTCTATGTTGCTTGATTTAAGTAGCTTGATTAAGTATCTCTTCTGTCATCCACCCTTTTGAGTAATTTATTCTTATTTTGATTGAGATTTCATCATTGCAGCTTTCATTCTTTCTATCATTTCAGAATGCTGTTTCAGTATACCTTTGAGTTGGTGGTTTTAGGTATACTGTTACTGCTTGATAATAAGAAAGATGGTTGGTTTGGGAATATTAGAGTTTGCTGACTAATTCTTCTTAAAGGATTTTTCAAACTGAATCTTGTCGTTTTTTCTTTTTCTCTCATTTTAAATGACGTGTTTAATAGTCTACAAAAATTAAAATGAGGTTTATCTTAATAAATTTTATATAAAAATAAATAATATTGAGTAAAACGAATATCTGTTTTATAAAATGTAACCAAATCACTAAAAGGATGCTTTATGAATAGCATAAAACATTTTATGGCAAATGTTCAGTCTGTTTCAAAGTAGCTACATCAATGTGTCGGGAAATCGGCGTTAATAAATGTTAATTTATGTCCTTTGCCTTTTCTACTTGGCCATTATTAGCCATTGTCTGTATCTTCGAATAACTACCGTATTTTTCTTTTGTAAGTGGCACTTAAAAGACTAATCTCATTTCTTAAAATGTTAAATTGCTAGATAATCTTTGTATATAATGAAAAAAATATTGTTTTGAATTTATTTTCTTGTGCCATTTCTATACTATTTACTTATTTACTGGAAATTAACTACAATGTTATTTCTGTATACATTTTTGTGATGTTTTTATTTTATTTTTCATTAATTAATAAATTCTAATAATCCTATCCGATATCGGACGACGTCGGCCGACGTCGGATTGAAAACAAACTTAAGGTATAAAATCACAGTGCCTATACTGCTTCCATGACAAAGCAGTATAGGCACTATGATTTAATACCTTGAGTTTGATTTCAATCCGACTTCGGCCGACGTCGCTCGATATCGAGTCGGGGGAAATACGATTCAAATGTAGGTGTACACTAACATAACAAAAACAAATAATTTAGGGTCATTATTTTATTTCAAATTTTGATTAAAACAGTATACACTCGTTAAGTACTTTTAAATACACGTGCATTCTTCTGGGGACTATTATCAATATACACTTTAACAGATTCATTTGGATATGGCGGTTTAAATATTGGTTCCAATTTTTTGCTCAAATAAGAACAATAAGCAAGCTCTGCCTGACGTATCATTTTCATTTTTTTACAAATCTCTGATATTTTAAACGTACTCGCGTTTACTCTTACAGCTTTAAAACCACAATCTGCAGCCAAGGATCGAGATTCCTCCATCATTCGCATTAAAAATTCAGGATGTTCGATCTCTCTTTTAACGAAAATGTAGGTCATCTCAAATATCTTTTGTACATGCATACAATCCCAAAGCTTCGGAAATCTTTGTAGATGTGCCTAAAAAACTAAAAGTTCATAAAATTGTAAACAAAAGTAATAATTATATCTTTAAGAAAACTCAGCTAATTTAAACCTAAGAAACTTCTTTGTCCTTTTATGAACCACTAACTACATGAAAGAACATAAAAGCTCTAAGACCAGATGACATACTAAATGAACTACTAAAATAACGGTAATATAAGCAGAGGAAATACTTTCCCCAAAAAATTTAAATATCAAACATATGTCAGACCGTTGTAGGATTAGATATTTTGATAGTATAAGATTGAGTGGGAAAGTACTTATACATACATAAATCCTGTGTAAGAACAATACTGACATATTATGAATGTGCTAAGCACGAAAGCATAATATACAGATCACGACATTGTTTTATTGACCATACAACACAATGGCAATCGCTGTGACATGTTACACGTTTTTACCTCCATATTTATTTAACAGTAGGTACGAATTGTCGTAATTATCACATTGACATTAAAAATTTTAAACGAAGTTCTGACAGAATAAACAAATTAGTAATAAAATACTTATTACGTTATAGACCGTCAAAGAAAAAGTGCAACTTGTAACGTAGTACTTTCAGGGTCATTCGATACGCGAAGTAATTGATTTATTTATTGTTGCTTTTGAAAATAGACCCCACCAAGTGTTACAATAGTTAAAAATACCATTAAACATTTATAAACTTCGAGATTTATAAACAATTGTAAAAAGTGTCATGAAGGTAATGAGCCACGTGTTAGACCTGTCGATGAAAAGCGTCAAACAGGGATATTGATATTTGTACTTTTGTGGAAGCTAGTGAACCCTGCAATAGTATACAAATTGCTAGAGAAGTTAACGTTAATGCTAAAACTGTCCAGCGAGTTCTTAAAAGGAATGGGTATCACTGTTTTAAGATTCAACCAACACAAGAACTGTTTCCGGAAGATACCTTTAGGCGGACGGAGTTTTGTGAATTTATGTTAAATAAACAGAATGAAAATGTAGACTTTTTAAAAGATATTTTATTTTCTGACGAATCTATTCTTTCATTCTCCGTCAACATGTCGACACACAGAAAGAAAACTAGGAAACTAAGAGGACATGTAAACCACGGTCACGGTCGTATCGGTAAACACCGCAAGCATCCTGGAGGTCGTGGTAATGCTGGTGGTATGCACCATCACAGAATCAACTTCGACAAGTACCATCCTGGATACTTCAGAAAGTTGGGTATGAGGAACTACCATGTAAGGAAAAACTCAAAATGGTGCCCAGCTATGAAACTTCTTTGTCCTTTTATGAACAACTAACTACATGAAAGAACATAAAAGTTCATGAAATTATAATGAGTCCGATACCCCAGAGACGTATAAGTCCGCAGGGACAGAGGATGCACTTCGAGACGGAAAACGTATTAATCAGCACATGGATAACTTGACTGTGATCATTCACGCAACAGAGCACTAGTAAAATATCAATAGTGGGGATTGCAAGCATCGATTCTTACTATGGTTTGTTTTTTAACCAGGAGGAGTAAACTAAAAAGACAGATTCACATCCAAGAAAGTTACTAAAAAAGTCACCAAATACATCTTTTTTGTTTGATTATTTCGGCCTTGCGGTAATCTAGTAATCGATTCTAACCTAACTTTGTTTGTTTATGTTTGAATAATAATTTTTTCCAATTCACTTCCAATATATATTATTTGTTTGTCTAACCACAATAAAAAAAATGTTGGATTGTTATAAAGAAGTTGAAGAATTTTTAGAGTTTATTTAGAGTATATGAAAGCGATATATTCGTGATAAAATTATATCTAAAATCCAATGGAATTTTACAATATTTTATCAGCGCTTTAACTTAAACAACAAATATTGTATGCTACTTTATAGGAATATAACCAGTTTTTATGGAATTGCCCATTTTTCAAATATACAGGTATAGACTTAGTTCATACATATTTTTTAGGACATCTCGTTCATCACTGTTCCAGTCTGCTTATATTCCTTAATTGTTCTTTAAATAGTTGAATTCGCAATACCTAAAATTGGCACATTACTTTAGTAAGTCTTGATTTTAACAATGACTATTCTGCAAAATTAACCTGTTGCCCGTTTTATTTTTGCTACCATGGCTATTATTTTTATTCCAGGATTATCAATTTTTATTTGTTTGTACATGTTTATAATGCATTGTTTTTCGTTTGATGATAAATGACCCAAATCTACTCGGCGTTTTTTAAGTGGGGAAGGATAATTGTTATTTTTATCTTAATGCATATTGTTATCTTAATAACACTAATACTTCGCTAAACAGTTCTGAGAAAAACTGTTTTTTTTATATAAATACAAACAAAAAATCTAAAAATTATAATAATAACGCAGAAAATAGAAAAAATCGTCGATACAAATTTTGAATTTTAAAATTTCATAAATGTCATTAGTGTCAAAATGTCATAATTTAGTGCAGTAAACTTGCCTGCGGTTGGACTAATTATTACAAACAAGCATTACGGGGCGGTAAATTTGAATTACTCCTCCTGGTTAACAAACAAACCAATAGCTCCGATACGGGTCGATACTTGTTGATTTTGCGTTAGTGAAATCATAACTTCGTAGGTATACGTCTTGTATTTGCACGTTTTTTCACAATATGTTTCGTAAAAAGGGTTTGTCTGAAGAAGAATTAATAAAACTTTCTTTTAACGGTGATTCAGACGCAAACTTTGATGCTGAATCAGAGAAGAGCTACGGGTGGAAAAATATTTGCGAACCGCCGTGCAGTGATAGTGAGAAAAACGATGACAGTTCAGAAAGTGACACCGAACTCGTTGTTCCTGATATTCCACAACCCAGGTAACTAAAAACAAAACAAAAAGAATCGGATCCTTTCGAGTGGCAAGAAAAAAATATTGCTCCTACAATACATAATTTTTCAAACAATGCCTCTGGATGTTGTATTGAAACATATATTTGATGATAATGCCAATTCTGGAGTGGCCGGCCCTTCTCACATAAAAAACTGGCAAAACACAGATATTGATGGGATGTATGTGTTTATTGGCGTATCTTTGCTCATGCCACAACTAAAAAAGTAGAAACTGCGTCATTATTGGACCAAAGATGCTTCACTGGAAACACCAACATTTTAACAATGTATGCCTTGAGATATATATATTTTTAGTTATTGAGAAATATCCACTTTTCGGATAGCAATGAAGCAAACTTAAATGACCGTCTTGTGAAAATTAGAAGCATAAGTGACTATCTTAGGAATATTTTCAAAAAAAACTTCTATCCATTTGAAAATATTTTCATAGATGAAAGCCTTATGTTATTCGAAGGACATATCTCGTTTCGCCAGTATCTTCCGAAAAAAAGGCATTCTTTTGGAAGTAAGATTTTTTTGCCGTTGATTGTGAAACCGGTTATGTATTACATTTCATAATATATACCGGAGCGGACACAGATATAACTCAGTATTCTGAGAATCTTAGTATATCTGGAAACATCGTTATGACACTGAACGACCCATATTGGAAAAATGGTCAAAAAATTTACATGGATAACTAGTAGAGCAGTCCATTACTGGCTGAAGCTTTATTCTAAAAAAGACTAATTATTGCTGAACTGTAAAGCTGAATCGAAAACATACGCCAAAATTTAAAAATAATCTAGAAAAAGGTTTTATACAATACTTTTTTACTGACAAATTTTTGGCACTCAAATAACAGAGACGTTGTAATGTTGACAACTATGCATGAAGCTAATATATCGAGGGATTCAATTAGGTCACAACGATTCAGACTATCAAAGAGCACAAAGAATTCAATTGATATTCACTTGTATAACTATCTGCCTAACGAAATAAAAATTCTGTCTCCACCACTGTTTAAAAATAGGATCAAAAAGCATTTTTTAACATATTGTTTTTACTCAAAGACAGAATACCTCAATACACCTTTGTAACGTGTACCCAGTTTGGTCAGAATACTGTCGATTTACTATCTACATATTACATTATATTATTGCTATTAAAATGTACTAAGTTTTATGTATTAGTTTATTTAGTCATCGATTCGAGAATATTCTTAATTATTTGTACATTTTTGTTACTTCCATATTTCAAAGATTTTTTATGTGACAGTTTAGGTTTGTTTTTTTTTTTGGTTACAGATTTTTTTTATCTTACATTTTTAATTTTAATTCTTCTACTAATAATTACATATGTATATTACTTTAGCCAATATGGTCAAGTTAATTTTAAGTTTACATTATTATATCTTTTATTGTATTTTTTATATGGACTTCAAACTTTATGTAAAGTGGTCAATAAACGTTCTATCTATCTATCTATCTATATTTAAAACCAAAAATAGTAGAAACGAAGAAATTAAAAACCTGAATGTATTATCGCGTACAATATGAATATGGATGGAGTCGATAGAACAGACATGCTCCTAAGTTCTACTGAATCCGAAAGGAAAAACGTGAAATGGTACAAAAAGGTCTTTTTTATATACTTTGGCCTGGTTGTACTAAATTCACATGCTATTTACAATACTCTATTGGATTTCCAGAGGGATTTGTTGCAGCAAATTTTACAAAAATATAAACAAAGCTCTCCTCGACTGTCACGAAGTAACAGACTGAATGCTGGTGATCATCCATTACGGTTCGTAGAAAAACATTTTCCTACGCTGTAACCGTTACGAGAACCTTTGTCAAAAATTGTGTCGTTTGTGCCAAAAGTAAAATTAGAAAAGACACAAGGAACTTGCGTCAAAAGTGTAATGTGCATTTGTGTGTAGTAAGTTGTTTTGAACGATATCATAGAATTTTAAAATTTTAAGTTCTGTATTGTTCCCTTTTTTGCATTATTAGAATTAATGTTTTTTTGTGCACATTTTTTTGGTTATTTTGCTTCTTTATGAATTTTTAATTCAAACAAAAATAATTTATTTAGTAACTAACGTATTTCTCTTTCTAATAACGCCAACACGAACAGA